TCTGTGGAGCCAGGCTGGGCTGCACCAGCAGGGAGAGGGGGGAGATGGCCAAGGGGTGATTGAGGAGCCGCTCTTCCCCATGCTCAGCACCAGCTTGTAACCCAGCCCCACTGCCAGCCTGGACTCCATGCCAGCCCTGGGTTTGCCCATCAGCAGCAGCAGCTGCAGTCCCCCTGTCTGCAGTGCTGGGCAGTGTTTGCTGCTGCTTCCTGCCTGGAGCTCGCACGTTGGGCAGCCCAGAGGCAGTGGTGGCAAACACTGCCTGGCGTGGCAAGGGGGGCACAGCTGCTATTGCCACGCACAGCCCTGATGGGCAAGCCCAGAGCCAGCGCGAGGCCTAGGCTGGCCATGGGGCCAGGTTACAAGGCGGTGCTGAGCACTTGGGGGGAGGGGAAGAGGTGAGGGAAAGCGGCCCCTTGCCTGCACCGCGCCCCATGCTGCAGCCACTTGCAGCCCGCCTGAGGCTGCCTGCACCTTCTCAGGACATCCCTGCGCAGGCTGCAAGTGGCTGCAGCGTGGGGCACTGGCCACGGGGTGGGCAAGAGGCTGCTTCCCCCCCACCACCCACGCTCAGCTTTTCCTGGGGCCACTTTCCCCCAGGCTCCTCCCCACTACCTATAGTTCTGGTGCGGGGCACCCACTGTGGTCCCAGGCCAGAAGCCTCAGCTGGGGAGGGGCGGGGGCTGGGCAGGCCCATCTGTTGTGGGAGCCCACCGGGCTTCCCCTGGATCCTACTGCCCTTGGTTCCTGTCATGGATTTTTTTTTAATACAGGAACCAGGGGCAGATGAATATTCATTTTCTACATTTTTTAGGGGCCCCACAGGCTGGATAGAATGGCCTTGTGGGCCGGATCCATTCCGCGGGCTGATTTTGCCCACCTATGTTCTAGCTGTTCTCTGGACCAAACATTTTCATTGCAGATCTTGGCAGCACTTATTTTTCTCCTCTTTCTACATGCCAAACAGACCAGTACCTCTGTGACAGCATCTTCTCCAGGCCCCTCCCTTTGAGCCAACTGATAGACTGGATTGACAATCTATAGTTTTATTTTTGAGTGACAACAACTCAAACTGAAACAAAAGGAAACACAAGTCACTGGCAGCATGAGCTGGATGAGATTTTCAGAATATAGTTTTTTCCTGATGGAATACATGATTTTGGGTTGATCACAATGATCCCTGAATTCAGGGGTGGCCAACCTGCAGCATGGGTGCCACAAGTGGCACTGGCAGGCTCTGTACATGTCATGCGACAGAACGGTGAAGGGGCAGGCAACAAAGTGGTGTATAGGGTAGGGAGCAGAAAGCAGGACAGCACATCAAATGGGGGGGGAAAAAGGGATTTGTGTGGTACTCAGGGAGGTATGGGGTAGTTTGTGGCATGCTTGCCAAAAAGATTAGTAAAATCTCAGAGATTAGCAATATCTACATGAATTTGGACAGTGGAAGCCAAATAGCATTGACTAAAAGAATATAAAAAACAGAAATTCAAACACTACAATTTGATATTTTGTTCGGATCATAGGAAAGTGGGGCTGGAAGGGACCTCAGTCATCTAGTCCAGCCCTCTGCAAAATGACATTGGTTTAAAATTTTCCTGTTTTAAATGTTAAGATTAAATTACAGTTAAATTGCATTGCGCTTCCCCAACCCTTTTAAAAGAAAATATTTCCGTTTTGGTGAAACAATACCTTTTGGTTGAGCCAAACAAATGTTTGTTTCAACCAAAGAACAAAAACAAAATTTATTATCCACACAGCCCTACTGGTACCAGGTCTTCATCTATTTGGAAACAATCCTCCCACTCCCCAGTTATAGGCAGTCTCCTGCAGCTATTCAGCTCCTACATGGGAAGCAGCGTAATGCTGCCAAGTATTTTGAATTGTGGGCCTTTGGGGAAAACCTATCTAACCTCATATACCTGGAAGAGAGACACCCACATTTCTTGCAGTAAAGGAGCTTGTTTTTAGAACAACTCCAGTAGTAGGGGCTTCTACGAATAGTAGCTTGCCACATCCACCATCCCCGATATCCTTATGGTTGATCTGACATTAGTTAGCAGACACACTGTGAAACCCCATCCACTCTTGCCTTACAACCAAGATTAAAAAGTGCTAGTAACTGCCACTGGTTCTCTCTCTCCTGTTTGCCTCTTACTCCCTCTATTTTTTTGCTTTGGTTGTTACTGTACTAATAGCAGATTGGAAAGATCAACTGGCATCTCGTTCTCTGAAGCATTCTCTACCAGATTTCTAGTCGGTTTTACTTCACTGCTTTTATGTTTGCAAAGCTGAGTAGCAGGAGACTACTGCACAGAAACTGGTGAGGAAAGGTAAGGCAGCATCATGGGTGGGGGAAAGAAAAGAAAACCAAAGACTTAAGTAACAGTGATAACTGAGAGCAGAGAGTAAGGGAAACATGCAGACAGAAAAGAAAAACTACAGGAACACAGAAGAACGTGTGACCAAAGGCTCCATGCTGTTTTAGTCAATTCTAAGTTCAAAACTTTTTTAAAACTTAAGGCATCTGGAAGTGCAAAGTTCTGAGGGTTTTCCCCTCCCTAACCTCCTCAGAAAACAGTAAGTGAACAGTTCAAATGAATATTAGCACTATTTCCATTTGTATTTATTAAGGCACAGCATCTATTGTTTGAACCACAGATTTCATCTAGACCCTCAGGATAAAACCCTTAGCAGAGTCAATAGATTTGTTGGCAGGGCTAGGATTTTATGCTTTAAAAAATTCTGTTCAGGAGCCATTTGCCAAAGCCCATGTAAATCATTTGGTTGTTTTTTGGTTCCTGTACTTGTGGCTGTGTATTGATCGTAGCCGTGCCAACGCGGCAACTGCCGTTTTAAAGTAAAATAAGTTGTCAAAAATATTAGAAAACCAGAGTAATTTCTGAATAATCTTGGTTCTACAGACCTCATGCAATGCTGGATTAAGTCCCATACTCAGCGAGCAGTCACAAAACATGATTAATGTTCAAGCCTGCAGATTTTGTAATGACTGATTTCCACTGCTTTTACTGACTGCATCCCAGTTAAACAGTGCAGCACAAATTAATAGCAACGGTGGCAAAGATCCACAAACTAAGTAACAAGGAGCTTGCTACCAGGGACTAAGCCATGGGTCCATTCAGGGAATAACACACTACTCAGTACAAACACAGGCTTTCTGTGTCTGGCTTAAACTGCTGCATTGTGAAGGAGATAGCTGCACTATGAATTCAGCAAGCGAAGTTGAACCTTTTTTTTCCTATTAAAGAAAAAAAGGCAAAGGGAAAGCCATGCTATGGGTTCAGGGTTTGAAGGGAAAGAAACAGCTGCCCAAGACCAGAGTCTACATCATCTTCTGCACTGCTCTTCACGAACCCGTGTCCCGACTGACACTGGATAGCACCAAGTAGGCGGTGTGATCCAAAGGGAAGCCCTTTATACATTCAGATCCAAGGTACCGGGCGTTTGCTGTACCCCAACGCTCCTACCAGCGTGAAGGGAGGGACGCAGCTTCGCGGGGGCACTGGAGCGCCCGGCCTAGGGGAGCGACGCTCCCAGGAGGACGAGAGCCCAGTACCTGTTCCGTCTCCCGGGAGCCGGCTGCACCGATGCGAGAGGGGACCGGAGCTTCCTGCGGGCTTGGGGCGTGTCCGCCGTTGCCTCCTTCTCCCAGCTCCTAGCAGGTGGGGGGGAAACAAAGTTGTCAGGCACGAATTCAACCTTCCCGAGCCAGCCCCGGCCCCAGCCCCGGCCCCTTCCCACGCGGCGGGAGCAGCGCAGACACCGCAGCCGAGGCGGTCCCTGCCGGCTCGGCCAAGCCCCGCTGCCCTACCTGGCGCGCAGGGACCCGTCAGCCGTGAGCCAAAGCAGGCAGACGAAGAGCAGCAGGCTGCCAAGCAGGGCCACCAGCGCGATGACCGCCCGCATCGTGCGGCCGCTGCAGCTACGCCGGCCC